CCCAGAACTCAGCTCTCACTGAAGTGTCTCTATGCAGTACACTGTCTGAGTGCAAAGGGTGTGTAAAATTGATTGCTGGATGTGTCCCCAAGTGGAAGTAGCTGGAAGTAATTCTTTGAGGCATATTGTACCACACAGACCTGGTTAAAGACTCCTGGGATTTTTTATAAACTTTCTACAAGCTCAGAAATGAGCTATCAAGCAGTGAAGGCAGGCTTCCAGCAGTCACATTAATATTTCAACAGCTATGAACCTTGTTGTTGTGACTCTCAGGAAAATATATATTTTCTGAGTGAGAATATGCATAATATAAGCCATCTATGCACAAAGCATGAGACCAAACCTGCCAGCTACTAGTCTTAAAATGATTTGTTCATGAGAGTTAGCTCAACTTGGAAAGCAAGTCGCACACCATGGCCCAATGTCACACACTTCTGCCCAAAGACCAGTGAAAAATGCAAAAAATTATTATTCAATGACATATATTAACAATAAACAGCATATGTTGATGGATAGTGGCTGCTGCCTGCCAGTGGATGTCACCAGTGTTTGGTGGTGTCTGCTACCTGCTATGTGAATTGACCGGACCAAATACCAGTGGCAGCCGGCGTGGCATGCTGAACACCGGTATACCCCAACATATCTCATTATTTGCCGCTGATATACAGCAATATTCACCAGTTGCTGCTGTATTCCTATGAGTTCCAGTGGACAACAAATGGTGGTGTTCACAAGCGCCCACAGCAACGCACCCATACATGGCAAGGACCACAGGCAAACACCAATGGCCACCGGCAAACACCGGTGGTTACCGCTGGAGGTTGGCGAATGCCAAAGTTGCAAGTCACGGGCTTATAACTCGCGCCATGGTGTGTGTGTGATCTGCCCTATCTTGGTGACCCCTGTTCTCGAAGCTTGCTCTCGCTTGCTCCACTGACATGTTTAGCACTCGCCACTCTCTCTCGACGCGTCTCTGCTCGCTGCACCTGCGCAGCACGTGTGTATGCCTCACAATGCTTGCCCCTGCAGTCTGTACTCCAACTCGGAGCCCGGCTTCTGGCTGATGCATGATGAACCTACTCGCAGCCTGCTGTCTCATTCTTGGCTTGTATTTGTCTCTCCTCCTGCATCAACGTTGTGCCCACTTTCGCTATAATTGCGGTGGCCAATGTGCTTCCCCAACTATTCTCGTCATGCTTCCCGCCAACGTCAGGTCGCAGCGCTACACGTCCCATCCGATGATGTCACTTGGACATGCGCCGAGGCCACGGTCAAAGTTCCACCTTGCCGTTAGCAGATATACGAGCTTGTCGTTTATTATAACACACAAGATTGAGACATTGAGACCACAGGTGCTAAGCTCTGCTGTCTGTCCAGGTTCCGAGAAGGCAAGCTGCATCGCACAATCACAGAAAATAGAAGCCAGTAAGGAGCTGTCTCCAAGAAATGGTTCAATGAGGTGTCGATAAGGCGGCAGGCAGCACAGTAGGATTAGGATTCTCAGCCGCAGTGGCCTTCGAAGATGATCTTTGAACTACCTGCCCAAATTGATGCCGACTTGTCTTTGACTGCACATCTCATGCAGTTCTGAGACATCATTTCGACTGTTCATGCCTATACTACCCACAGCAAGCAAAACTGGGCTTTCCAGGCAAAGAGCAGCCGACTGAGAAGATGCTAGCTTCGGGGTCTTTTGACCAAAGTAGGCGAGAGTAACGAGCGAAGGGGAGATAGGCAAAGGAAAGGCTAAGCAGTGAGTGACCTGTCAATGTCCACTGCTCTTGTATGTATGATATACACAAAACAGAACCGTCCATTGAGTTGTATCAGAGCTTATTTTCAGCCCAAACCGCAGGCTGAAGAATAGCGAGAACTCAAAGCTTCCGCTTTTGTGGGCCATTTGTTGTCTTATCTGGAGCCGCAGCTGGCGGAGAAGTTTAATCCTGGGCGTATTCTCTGCAATGAATTCCAGATTTCGTAGGTGAGTATATGCATAGCGGTCTTTTGGGCTGCGTCTGACTCTTCGACACCAGCCCGACTCCCAACAGCTGATTGGCTTTAGTGTACATCTCTGCGTTGTATGTCCACTACTTCCTCTTTTGTCTCTCACACAACTTACGCTCGATCTGCAAAGCCGACCATTCGCTTGGCAAAGGGCTCAGGTGGCTTTTGTTTACCTCATGCAGAGCATACGACCAGACCACACGGGCTCTCCATCCATGTTATCACCTGCACCAATGACTACAAGAAGAGCATCATGATGATGTTTAACACGTCATATAACTTACTGTGGCGGGGCAACAAGTCTAGCAAGACCAGCAGGCGGTCTGTAAGAGCAGATGCCCCCGATTTGAAGCTGTTGTATGTGTGCTCTACAGCTCGAACACCGGCACGTCAGGAAGATTCGCTCACAAAATTGCTTCCGCCGCGGCTGGCCAATGTACATCTGCACCTCAGATGATCCATTTATGAATCGTTTAATGCTTTCCTAGGGTTAGGCCCCACAGTCGACTCCGTAACGGGGCATCTGCATACAGACGGGCCTACAGTCATCTTCTCTGCCTCGTTCAAAGGCTGACCCGCCACCAATGCTGCGTGTTTTGTTGAATGGCCCTTGAGCCTAAAGGGCAAGATGCTTTGGAGGCATCTTATGCTGTCTTCGTCTGCGGCAAGCTCGACCGGGTTATAATGTACCAATGTATCCTTATGTTGTGCGATTACTTGCTTGCTGAGCGTGGTTGCACTCATCTCATTCTTCGCAGCAAGGAGAATGCCGGCTCTAGAGGCCTCTCTGAGGTGTTTGAGAAGTAGGAGACGGCTCTATGAGAGACACTTCGCAAGGTCTGCATCTTCTTACTCTGTAACACAGTGGCTCATCACTGACTGGCCTGCTTGTAGCTGTTTTGACGGAGAAGAAGCCGAGAACCAGCTGTGCTAACATCTTTTGCCAGCTGGACGCAGCTCTGGGAACCATGCTTAAGTATAGAGTCTTTGCAGCACCAGGTGCACTGGTGAAAGGACATAACTGTATATAGCACTTTTGCATTCTAGTACTATACAACCTAATATTGACAGAGGATGCTGCAGATTCAAGTGTTTTGGATAGCATAATCTATGGGACGGGTAATTTTGCTACATGAGATTCAGATCACCCTCTTTTACTCTCCAAATTTTCTCACAGATGATTTCCCGCCAGTCTGCTGGATAAAAAGCACCCACTTCACGTGCGCCTGCTATGAAGGTCGAAGGTGGACAAAAATAAATATCTTGTGTTGGCAGCGCTGAATCTTGTTTTTACAGCGGCTGACAGTTTATTTCACTGTAATATACCTAATTTATTTGTGTGTTAGTGAATCTATGCACATCTATACTCACTGTTGTGTGTGATCATGCAAATAAGTGCACATTTGTTCAAATCTGTGCCCCTGTACAGACACAACTGGGAGTTTGAGAGTCATGGGCATGATATTGTTGTGCACAATTGTGCACCTTTGTGCATTAGTTCTCATCACAGATTCTCCATATTTAGATATAACGATAGCTCAAACTGGAAAATCAATGATAAGCACCACACGAGAATGAGTTCCAGACTGCGAGAACGAGTTTTGATGTGGACGAAATGCGGCTTGGGTGCATCTTTGTACACTTATTTATGAAGGTTGCTATTGGACAAAAAAAATGAGTTTGGAATTGGTGCAGACTGTACTCACAGTTTGGCGGACAAGGGTGTGCAAATGTGAACAAATGTGCACAAATGCGCACGAAAGCTCACAAAAGTGGGCAAACGTACATGATCGTGCACAAAAATAGACAAACGTACATGATCACGCACGAAAGCATACAAACGCACACAATCGTGCATGCCGCTGAGCTTTGGTTTTGGTTACGCCCTGATTTGAGATTGGTGATGGCGCTAATGTGTGTGCGTTTGTGCATGTTCGTGCACTCAACTTATTATTCAGTTTTATGTAAGCTGACAATTGGTTTTCATTTTCGTAACTATGCATCTCATTTGAATCTTCGAGTGCACAAAAGTGCGTGAAGGTGCGTGAAAGTGCACAAAAGTGTGCAAAGGTGCGCGAAAGTAAACATCTAGCGAAAATGAATTGTGATAACATGAATGTGTAGTTTGTCAAATGCACACTTTTGTGCATGTAAGTGCACGAAGGTGCACAAACGTGAGCTTTCGTGCACGTTAGCACATGTTAGTGACCAAACATGCATCATCGTGCAGGAATACGCACGAAAGTGCAGGTATACGCACGCATAACCTTAGACGCACATCAAAAACAAAAATTTGTGGCTGGCGTGAATGTGAGAATTTTTTTTGTCCAATAACACCCTTGATACTTATTTGCGGTATTGCACACAACATTGAGTGTAGATGCATGTAGATTCACTAACATACGAATAAATTAGGTATATCACAGTGAAATAAGCTGTCAGCTGCTGCAAAAACAAGATTCGGCTCTGCGAACACCAGATATTTATTTCTGTCCACCTTCGACCTTCATAGCCTGCTTTCATCTCGTAACTGGCCAAGAGGTGCGTATATAGTGGCACACCTTTGAGGCAAAAATTAACGCATGAGCAGGTCATTGTTCATTCCATTGATCTGACTACCATTCCTACTGATCGCCCTATGAATGCTTCAACGCTGCTCGCCCGATACGCAGAGCTGACCTGGCTAGCAATTGCCTAGGACCTGCGTGTCCTCGGCAAGTTGGCCAGTGCCAAAGCCTTCTAAAACGCACTAAAGGACCCAACGAAAAGCTGTGCAACGACGGTTCTCTCCAGACATTGATATTCTCCTCGCCACTTTCCTCCAGCTTCTCCCCGCAGACATGCGCGCCCGTCAATGCTCCGTGTCCTCGTCCCCACTTGCCGATACCACCTGTGCCAAGCTGACAATCAGCATGCCCAGGACACCTGTAACATCTGGCCATGGCGAGCCGTTCCTTAGCGTGGCGATGACATACTTGGCCGGCCTCCGACAGAATGACGGAATGCAGCTCACGATGCGGCCGTCAAACGCAATGTTCTGTCCATCTGTGGACCTGGCTGCGCCAATGCTTATATTCTACGCTGGGTTGGGTCCCGCACCTATGTGCAGATTCCTGCGAGAGTGGGCAATCCAATAGGGAGGTCGCGAAGGGCATTCTGTTCTTGGAGTGTCGAAGGCCGGGCGAGATTAGTTGTATATTTGCAATGACCTCAAGGTGCGGCTTGCTCTCTACATCATGGATGTGCTTTTGGTGTTGTCGAGGGCGGCTTGCTAGTTTCTCGGCTGCAAGTACGTCCAAGAGTAAGTGCTCGTTCTTCCTCCTATCCTTTCATTGTTCTCACACTCGTGCATAGGCACATCTGGCATAACTGTACAGGTGTTGGAGAAGCTGGTTCTCATCATTCAGGACATCTTGAGGCTATATCATGCTACGGCAGGGGAGATGTTCAATGAGATTTTAGTTGATCAATTTGTTGTTGAAAATGCAGGCCGCCGTCGTGAGCTGTATTGTTGAAAGGAGGCAAACGCGCAAGTGTTCGCAGTCTATTCGGCAGGTATTTATCTATGTTATAAATGTATCAGGTACGAACGTGGGCGCAATATAAGATAAATACAAGTAAACTACGTGTGCCCGAGGTGCCAGCAAACACGATCTCGAGACGTGATCCAAAAATCTAATATTTGTGGCTGATGTTTTTGAGTAGAGTATAATATTTTTCTGTGTCAATCCACTGCCAATAGGCCATTGTATTTGCATGCCACTCCGCAAATTAATACGCTGGGACCCACGCGGCCACTTCATACCCCGTCCACTTCTAACTCCTGTCCGGCCTGAGGGGATGATGATGTGGAGCTGCTATCATTAGATACATCAGGAAGGCGTGACGGCATACCACTCGGCTGAAACCGTTCGAGATCATAAGCCTCGAGTCTTCTGCTCGCATTAATGACAGATGCCACTGTCTGCCTGAAACACAGCACACTCTGAAGTCTGGTCATTCTTTGACGCAGTTCACGCGTCAAAGTTCAGCATTGCTCTCACAATGTCCTTCCTGGTCCATTCCTGCGATAGCATCCTCGTCGTCACAAGCTTTGGCGCCCCAACCACTTTGCAGCGTCCCCTCGACGTTGCCTAATCGACTCGTTGGCCTTGTGAAATGCAGTGTCAACTGCCCTTGCTGCAGATCACTGATGTGTACAGAGTAGTCCAACATCTCCGAGTAGGCTGTCTGGCGGAGGTTGATTATGAAGCAATTGATGAGCACCAAGGGCTGCACAGCCAACCCATATGTTCAGAAAGGATCAGTAGAATGTAGGGTACGTACCAAAGTCATCATTAACGTGCCCACAAATGATTTGTCCTTAAATTCGACATTAGTTATCGGCCTACAGGCTCATGTCGGGGACGTACCGCAGACAGGTTGGTGGTCAGCAATTGGGTAACGTTTATTGCTAGCAGAGCTCTATATCCATTACTATTTACGAGAGATTCCTTTCAATGCAGCCCTCTCATCACACTCACATGAAATAGATAGTCTCTGCGTGGGCAACTGAGCATCAGGAGCAGGGTTGTGATGATGTGCAGAGGACTACAAACCGTCAAGCAGCAGACACTTTGTCAGCGACACCCTCATGTTGAGGCGTCATGCATCCTTCCATTGTCCAAATGTCTTAATCCAAGTCAGGACGACCACAATGGTGTCGGTGAGAATAAGCAAGACACGTGTGATATACGTGACTATGAGCACGTGGTATCAGTGTCTCAGACATAGTAGAATGCTCTGACCACAGAACGTACGTCTATATTGTGAAAGCTTAGTATTCTGGAAATGCAGCCATGACAAAGAACCATACACTCACGTATCAAATTTTTGTTCAGAGATAGGAGGGATCGAGACGCATGTCATTCCAGTGATCGGGTCTATAGTGAGTCTGTCCTTCGATCCTACCGTGCTATACTGCGTAAAAAGGTGGGTAAGGGCATATGTGAAGTTTGGACAAGGGTGACACGCACTAGATTTGTTGCGAATAGAGCCATGCTCAGTGTGAACACCACCAGCAACCAGACATAGCTCCTGTTCCAGATTGCAAAGATGTGCAGGGCAGAAAAAACTGATAAAACGAAGTTAGTGGGCACTTCTGACTTGTGCAGACTGCGTGAGGCATACGTGCAATCTGGAAAAATCCGGCAAGAATGAGCATCCAGTTCAAGATTTCAAGCGACGTGCAGCTATGTGTCAGGTTCCAGTGAGTGGCCTGTTATCCACAGGCTCAGAATAAGCTGCACTCACTCCTATAACAATTATTATCATAAATTACACATAGCAAAAGAAGTGTAAGGCTTACACTCTGCGTTGCCGGTGGAAGATCCTGGATGACCGTGAGGACCATTCACCATTGTACTGAGCAGAGTAGCACGGCCCACACAGTGATAGGTCTCTTCCAGACGATTTTGGTTTCATCACTGATGGTAATCAGGAGTTCGTAGACGATGAGGCCTGAGGAATAGGTAGTAGCGTGTGAGTGATGCAATGGGAAACAAAAGATGTACTTGCAAGCAGCAGCTATGTTTATATAGTTGGCTGTAGCGCTGGAAGACCAAGGTATAAGTATTGAGACTTTAAGTGAAAGCAGGGGCGACGCTTACAGTCGTAAGTAGGCTTGGACAAGGGCTTGGTCCGATTGTGCGGACATAGTTGATGTGAGGAAGCGGGGAGGCGAGCTGTATCAAGATGAGGCTACCACTTGCACAGATTATGAGTAATTGGCTAGTTGTCTGTCAGTATTTATACTGCAACTGCTTACACATGTGCAGCTTTTTTTTAGCAGCGTTTTGTTTAAAATTGCCATTGAAGAGCTTCCAAAGTAACAACGCTGACAGAGAACAGCATCAGGAAAACATCTGGATGCTGTAGGCGTCTTGGGTCAGATGAGATTTCTTGGCTTGGACCTATCTTGGAAGCATTAATTGTTGCCATCAAGGCACTCAATGCATATTGGTTTGGACCAGGACACTTGAACATTTTCCTGATGCGAGGCTGTTCACATTGCAAGCGGATCCATACTCAAGTGTATAAAAATCAGGAATCGTTGCTCTGAGGCGGTGAGATGTCTCAGTGCGCTTGAGAGTGACAGGAAACAGGATTTCCATACCATCCACGTTCTCACCGGCAGTCGGTGTTATCTACTCCCACAATCCGTTGTCGTAAAGAAAAGGTTAGGATAAGAAAAGTAAGTAAAGAAAATAAAAATGAGGTTTGGTATAAAGAAGATTCTAGGAGAAATCCTAGAAGGCTACTTTTTAATAAAAGAGAATGGAGTTTGGTCTGTTCTAAACTAGAAGCAAGAAGGGTATGGTATGGAATATTTAGATTTGGTTTTCCCAATCTTTTCTTTCCAGGGTTCACTGGGTTAGCCTTTCAACCAAGCTATCCTGGTGTTCGTGGGGGACTAATTCAAAGACCACCTACTAATCTGCTTAAGTACTCTAAAGCCTCACTTGCCTGTTACAAGGGACTTTTAAGGAATCTTAGAAGATGGGCTGTAAGAAGGTTTAGTTAGTAGCTTAAGGACTAGCTACTTGGGTTAGTAGAATAGGGTTTTTTAGATAAGTAAGATAAGAGGGTAACAAAGACAAGTTAATGTCTTGGTTAACTTAGTAAGCTTTGGCTAGTAAGGACAATTCAATGTCCTTAGAGGATTTGTATAACTTGAAGCAGTCTGAAGCTTCCAATTTAGAGTTAAAGATCAAGAATAGATTTAATCTCTTTACTGCTAGTCTAATTACTGTAAGCTCTACAGGAGACGTACCACAGTCTCAAATAATGACGCCACTAGCTCTCGCAGTCTAGGGTTAGTCAAATAGTGAACTCGTGCACTATACCAAGGGCGTTTCCCTTCAGGTTATTTGAAAGTCAGAGGCTCTAC